TTTTTTTTTTTTTTTTTTTTTTTTGTGTGTGTGTCGTTTACCTTTTTATCCATAAATCTTTTTGTTTTATCATCCTTGCGCTTTGTTTTTAATTATTATCATTTAAGTTTCGTTTAAAAGCACACCGCACCATATGAATACAACTCTATGTGTTTATACTACACTTTGTTCTAATACTAAGCTTCCATTTTCTTGAGACGGTTTAGGATTTCTTGGGATTGTTTGAGATTTCTTGATTAAAAGAACGGTGGAGTGGTATTTACAATACTTGAGACGGTTTAGGATTTCTTGGGATTGTTTGAGATTTCTTGATTAAAAGCATTGTTAGACAAACACAACTCTCCATAATAGTACGATATTGTCCACTTTGAGTATAAGCTCTCGTGGCTTTGCTTTGGGCACGATATTGTCAAAGCTCTCGTGGCTTTGTTTTGGGCACGATATTGTCCACTTTGAGTATAAGCTCTCGTGGCTTTGCTTTGGGCTTCCTAGGCCTCATACCAATGGAGTGAGTATTCTTTGATTATAAACCTATGATTCTTCCATAAATTAGTCGATGTGGGATTTTCATCCAACAAAAGAAAAGGAGTCAAGCCTCCTCGAAGGCAGTAACAAATGACTAAGACTCCAAAAGAGTCGAGCCTCAATTAAGGGGAGGCGTACTTTGTTCAAGGGGAGGTGTTGGATGATGAAAGTCCCAAATCAGCTAATTTAGGGAATGATCATGGGTTTACAATCGAAAAATACTCTCCCCATTGGTTTGAGGAATACTCTCTCCATTGGTTTGAGGCCTTCTATAGAAATCCAAAGCCACGAGAGCTTATGCTCAAAGTGGACAATATCATAGCATCGTTATAATTAATTCAGGCAAATCGATCATTCAAAAATTATTTATAATTAAAGTTGAATCAAAAATTCATTTAAATACACCTATGTAACTAAATCATATATGCCTTAAAAAGCATATAATTGGAGAGAAGCTCTTATGGATGAGCTAAGAACATCGACAAAAAGCAAGCAAACTCTTTAAAACCTCATTTAAGAAGAAAAAACAAAATAAGAGTGAGTCGACATTTCGGTCGTATCTAAAAAATTTCCTTTTACTTTCAATAAAAACTCTCTACATCCAAGTATTTCTCTGCTTATAGATGTGTTCTTCTATTGCTATGGCAGGATCATCAGCTTTTTCTCCAAATCTCAAGTTGAGTTATGATGTGTTTTTGAGTTTTAGAGGAGAGGATACTCGATCCAAATTCATCTGTCATCTTGACATGGCCTTGCGGCAAAAATGAAAAATGAGTCAACGTCTTCATAGACTACAAGCTCAGCTGAGGTGAGCAAATTTCTAAATCTCTTTTCCGATCTATAGAAGTTTTGATTTCTATTGTTATATTCTCTAAAAATTATCACCCTATCTTGATGGTTAGATGAATGGGTGAAAATAATTGAATGTAAGAAATCTGAGGACCAGATAGTTTGGTTTATTTTCTATAAGATGGATTCGTCCTATATACGAAAATAAACGGAAAGTTTTGGAGAAGTCTTAGTCACACATCAACCAAAAATCCAAATTTGGAGGGAAGCTTTTAACTACTACTATGGACTTGTGTGGATGAAATCTCATAACTAGGTAATTTCTAATCTTAAAAGATTCATTTTGTTTCAAGATACAATTTAGCTTGTGTACTATTTCGACAACTAGGCACTTAAATTTTTTAAGTTGGTATGCTTTTAAGAAAAGTCATTCACCAAGTCATTACTTAGACCTTCCCGAACGTGCTACAACTTATTGTAGGTTCTTTCCTTTGTACTCGAGATGACCAAGCATATTAGAGAAGTATATTAGTTGAATTTAAAAACTCTATGAGAAAAGGACATTAGCAATGTTCTTCAAATAAGTTGTGATGGGTTTAAAGAAAAAAAATGTTTTTTATATTTCTTGTTTGCTAGAAAGTTGACTAAGTTAAGAATACTTGAAACCATGTCATCTCAATCCCGATAAAATTCATGACTTCTCTGCAATATCGTCGAACCTTGAAGAGTTATACCTTAGCAACTGCACAAAATTAAGAAACGTTCTTTCGTCAATTGTTTCTCTTGGTAAGCATGTTACCTTAGATCTTAATCTTTTCGAACCTTAAAAAGCTTCCAAGTTACCTCATGTTGAAGTCTCTTAAAGTTTTGAAGCTCAATTACTGCAAGTCGATTGTACATTTAAAACTATCCAAGTGTTCTAAGTTCAAAAAGTTTCCAGAAATGGATGAAAACATGAAATCTGTAAGGTTTTTGGATTTGGATTTTACGGCCATGAAGGAGCTACCTTCATCAATTGGATACCTTAGAGAGCTTGCTGCGTTAGACCTTGAAGGAGAACAAATTCTCTAATCTAATGTTGTCTGAAAATAAATCCTCGAGTCCACTTACATTTCTCCATAAATTTATGTTGTTGTGGAATTTTTAGTCAAGAAATTCAAAACTTTCCTCCACGTTTCCAAGAAATGGATGCCACTGGTGGTGGATGATTGAGTAGAAGTTCAATCAAGATCAAGCAGGTTTATCTCTTCTCATTTGAATTCTTCTACGAGTTTGTACGGTTCTTATGTTTTATAGGTCATTACAGGTATTTATAGACATTTCATTCTAATGAATGCGAAAATATCGAAAAGGTTCAGCTATCGAACTATATCAAATCTAATGAAGATTAGCTAGCTTTCGATATTATCTCAACATGTAAAGAACTTTGATTACCTATGTTATGTTCAAAGTGGACGAAATAGAAAAGCAATCAGATCAAGGGCAGACCATAATTTCATTTAACATATGTTGTAATGATTGACTCAAAAGTTCTTGTATGAGAAATTTTCATCGTCAACGTCAACGTCAGAATATATGAGTTTAATATCAACTACTCCTTCAAATTTTAGTACTTACTAGATGGTAAACGATTGAAATCATGTTTGGAAAAGTAACCAGATCAAGAACATACCATAATTTCCTTTTAACATATGCTACGACCAAGACTCAAAAGTTCTTGTAAGAGAGAAGGTTAATATCAACTATTATATTCTGAGCTGGACTGGGCTGTTTGTATATATATATTCTAAGAATATTGGGGCTGGGCTGAGCTGGACTGGGCTGTATATATATATATATTCTAAGAATATTGGAGAGGTAGAAAAAATGAACTCTAATTATATTCGACTTAGAGTATAAATTAATTCGAGCAAAGTTTAGCTAGGTCAAAGATTGTCACGGCCCAATTTTTGAGCCTTCGAAACTTGGATATTGACTAGAGTATAAATTAATTCGACCCCCTTTGTAACCGCATAGCTCTCGAACGCTTCTCACCTGCAACCTATTTATACGCTCTCACCGCATTCTTAATCTAGTACGTAACCACGAGTTTTTTCTTGAGCTTTTTGAAGTTTGAGCCTAGTTTAGGAATCCCCTAATTGTCACCACACTCAATAGTGGCACTAATCGTGAGCTAAACTATTTATGTAGTCCCTCTTGGCCTCTTAGAGCGGATTTATTCTACACACAATAGTATCTTTTCAATTAAGTACTTATGTAGTCTCTCGTCCCCTCTTATGGTGAGTTTATTCTACACACAGTAGTGGTTTCTTATGTTATCTAATTATGTCATCTACTTATGTAATCTCTCGTCCCCTCTCAAGTTAGGTTGTGTCTTACACACAGTAGCAATAACTTATGTCATCTACTTATGTAGTCCTTTGTCCCCTCTTAAGACGAGTTAGTTCTACATACAACAGTTCCTTATGTAATCTACTTATGTAGTCCATTGTTCCCTCTCAAGACGAGTTTATTTTGCACACAATAGTTCTCTTGGGGTTTTCCCTCAAGATTTTTAAAACGTGTCTGCTAGGGAGAGGTTTCCACGCCCTTATAAAAAAAAAAATGTTTCGCTCCCCTCTCCAACCGATGTGGGATCTCACAACTCATTCTCCTTCGGGATCCAGCATCCTCGCTAGCACTCGTTCCTCTCTCCAATTGATATGAAGAGACCCCTAACGTTTAAAACTATCATAGAGGTGACCTCCAACACTAGTGTCACCTGCTGAGTATTTCTTAAAATACTCAAGTCGTGTGCTACTTCTATTTTTCAGGAAAAGACAAGGTACCCATAGCTGACGACAGCATCGCAAGTAAAGACCATAATACATGCATAGGATAATTGTATTTAAATTTTTAGATCATAGGTTAGTATAGAGCATTTTTCCAATTTTAATATTTACTTCGTTTTATTTAATATTTCGTTACATTAGTTTAAAGTCTTTTCAAAAATATGTAAATTCATGACATTGTTTTACGAAAATATTCTTAAATGCTTATTTGTGCATAAAAGATTATGGTATGGAGATGGTAACAACCCTTAGCAGAAATCAATTTATTATTTCTATGAAAAGTTCAAATCTAATTGCGTCAGTATTTTAATCTCATTATTCACACTTGCGTCAAAAAAGAAACAAAACTGCTTTGATTACGTCACAAGATCTGTTAATGATGACTCGGCCGACAAGATCTAATCAATTTGTCGTTTTCATTCTCGGTGCTCCAATCGCCCAACTCTGATTACACTCGATCGGTTAATGATGATTCTGCCGACAAAATCTATCGATTTATAGTTTCCATAAAACGTTAGAAATTTAATAACTCTATTCCCGAGATGTACTACTACTCGCACATTTGTCAAAAAAGCGAACTAAAGTTGCCCTAATTAACCACACTCGAACATAATCAACTCACCCGACAAACTGTAATCAATCTATACCGTCCATAAAAAATTAAAATCCCAATACGTTACTCGTTCGTGATTAAAAAAAAATCGAAATCAACACAATCATAAAATAGTCATCGGCATACAATAATTCAACAAAAAAAAATGTAGCAAAATTCAAATCATTGGGAAAAGAGAATCAAACTAGACTCATTTATTTATTTATTTATGAATGAATATAGAATTAATTATAGTGAATATTCCATTTAATTTTTTGAATTGGAAGTCCAAAAAAGGCAGCAAAATCATCCACTTTTTGGATACATATAATAAATCCAAAATTATATTGGAATTATCCAAAACGCCCTTCCTTTTTTGCCTCTCTACATTATGAACCATGTAACTGCAGCAACCGGCAAACCTGCTCCATCCCATTTATTCACATTTACTTTTCTTTTTTTTTTTTATTGCCTTTTAGATATATATATATATATATATATATATATACACATATATATATATATAGTTTAATTGTGGCTTAGTTGATGATTAGGGTTTTAGTTAAAACGAGTATAAAATTTAAAAACATGATCCAAAATAAATAAATTCGATATATGATGCTCAGGATTCAGACCTCTTACTATTGAACTACTAAAAAGATAGATAGTTGTCACAGCTCAAGCTCACCGCTATCAAATATTATCATTTTATGGGTTTTTCCTTCTTAAAGTTTTAAAACGTGTCGGGCAAGGAGAGGTTTTCACACCCTTATAAGGAATGTTTCGTTCCTCTCTCCTGTGAGATCATGAAAGTCCCATATTGGCTAATTTAGAAAATGATCCTGAGTTTATAATCAAGGAATACTATCTCCATTAGGGTGAGGCATTTGGGGAAAGCCTAAAGCAAAGCCATGAAAGCTTATGCTCGATCTAGTTTCATTAATACATCTGATTTTTGCTGGAACGACATGTTTTTCTCCTTATGAAAGTATTATTTTTGCTATTATTTTATCATCATATGGTATGGTCTCTACTTTGGAGACAAAACAACATTATGCACACTCCATTTGTTTTTCTCAAGTTGGGAATATTAAGACTAAATTATTTTCCTTCAAGTCCTTCAACTTCATGGATTTTACCAACAATGGCCCTACACTCTTCAAAATTAAAATTGGGTTTATTTTCCAAAAAATAAAAAAAAAATGTTTATTTAGTTTATTGTTTGATATTAATTATTTGAATTAACCCATCATTTTTTATAAATTAAATTAAAGGGTTTTAAGAGTTATTTATTTTTTTTAATCAATTATCTTTATTGGTAAACATGAAATGAAATTAATTAATGACATCATCAGTCATTACTCAAGGAACTACTTTCCAATTAATTACCAATTTATTGTTTTCTGGTGTCTTACCATCAGTTACTCTTTTTTTTTGGGCATATATTTAATTCACCAAAACTATGGGTACAATTTATAAAATTCTAAATTAATAAAAATATACTCCTAAAATTTAAACGTCCATCGACCCCTTTAACCTTTAAATTTTTATTTTCAACGTGTGAATGAAAATTGTTTATCGATACCTCATAGATTATCTTTATTTATTTTGAGATCATATCTAATATTCAGAGTTTGCCTCGATTTGGTACCGCTTTCACGGCCTCCTAAATGTCTAGCAGCATTTAGAGGAGAACTAGGTAGCTCTAGGTTCGAGAGACGTTTTACTCCAACCACAACTCATTCTGATTCCTCAACATTGGTGACCTTCACTTAGTTGAGAGGAATAAATCATCAACTTAATTAAGTTTTTATCTTCACATTAATTAATTAATTAATTTGAATATTATTTTCAATAAATAGAAAAATCTCACCTGCACTTAATTTGGATAATTGCGAAAAAAAAAAAAAAAACGCTGATTTGATATTTGTTTCTCTCTGCTCTGTCATTCCTTCTCTCTCTCCTCTGTGCCTTTTTGAAGGCTTGAGAGCAGAAATCGCTTAAATGCGCCATTTCACCATTCCTGAGACCTCCATGGCCGAAACTCGCGCACCCCATGTCCTCATACCTCCTTCTCTTCAACATAGAACAACCCATTTCTTGATCAAATCTATTCTCCATTTTTAGCTCTCTTGATCGCTTTCATTCCCTTAACCCACCATGAAAATCTGTTCATTCTTTCATAGCTTCCATTTCTTCCTGTTTTTGTTGCTGTCTTACTCCAAAACTTAAATACCCTTCTCTAATGGTGAAGGGTATCCTCTAGCTTGACCTTCCTTCTCTGTTCTTTTTCCTCTGTTTTTCTCTCTGTTTTTCTCTCTGTTTTGTGGGTTTTCGCCATGGAGAATGATACCATCCGTAAAGCTTGTGCTTCTTCATGGTATGTCTTTTTCGTTTTCGCCTTGTTTTATGATGCTCTGTTTTGAAGATTTGGGGGTTTTGCATGTGCTATTGAGAGGTTCAACTTTTAAGGGATTTTGGTATCTGGGTGTTTGTTGTTTGGTCATTTCTAGTGGAAATTTGCTTGTCTTTTTGGATTCATGTGCTGTGGAAAAGGAGATTCTGTGAATATCTGGCTTCTTTTTGACCTGTTTTTGTTTGGTTCTTTTGGGTTTCTTGAGATTTCTTCAACTTTTCCCCCTTTTTCCTCTCCTTTTTGGACAAGGGGGACAAGAAAATTGGGTGTGTGAACTCAGAAATGTTTTGTCGGATGAACTGAGATATGAAATTGAGTATCATGACGTATAATCTTGAGTAGCTGAATTTAAAGAACACAAAACCAATACTAAACTCTTGTGTTCATAATCATAATCACTGTTTTTTGGGATGTTTGGAGGAGGAATTCATGAAGGTTCTGGGTTCGAGCCTTCGATGAAAATTCTTGATATCTCGTAGAGTTTATGTCGGGTTTCGGGTTGGGTCGGATTCGACGAAATAAGAAGAAGAATCACTCTTGTTTGTATGTTAAGATCTGTAGAGTTTCTATGTTGTTTTATAGGGAGAATGGTCGATGTTTGGATGAAGAAGCAAAAAGATCTCCACTTTACATGGCTACTTTCGGGAAATATAAGATGCGGAGTAACATGCTTCCATCGGCTTCGGCTCGAGGTTTGAATATCGGTTTGTTTTCGAGTTTTGTGTGCTTCTATGGTGACATTGTTTAGGCTGATGAGTTGTAGCTGTGTTTTGTTTAGACTTGAGATGTTTCGACCTCGAAAGTGAGCAACGTGATGCATTGTCTCCTAGAGGAGTTTTGGAAGCCAGTTTACAGAGTTCGGAATTCGATCACGATTCTTCACATGATAGTTACCCCGAATCGGAGGTTCAATGTTCACAATCACTTTCTCACTGGAAAAAGTTCTTCAAATCATGGAAGAAACGCTCGTTTAGACGTCTAGCCTCTTTTCCGCCCCTTGGGGTGCTGAAGATATCAAGAAGAGGGAACAGAAGCGAGCAAGATAACCCGGGGCTAAGCGACTTGTACAAGTTCAAGTCCTCGTTGGGAAACTTCACGTTCTCGGAGCTCCAAACTGCCACTAACAAATTTAGCCAGGGTCGGTTGCTATTCGTATTCCATATGATCGTTACTCTTTAACTTTGGTGTCGACATTGCTGATTGTTCTTTTTTTGTAGCGAATTTGATCGGAAAAGGTGGTTACGCCGAGGTTTACAAGGGTCGTTTACAAAATGGGCAGCTGATAGCAGTGAAGAAGCTGAATAGAGGAGCGCCTGATGAGAGAACTGCTTGTTTCTTATCCGAGCTTGGTATCATAGCTCATATCGATCATCCGAACACTGCTAAACTGATCGGTTGTTGCATCGACCGAGGCATGCACCTCGTTTTCAAATTATCTCCAAATGGAAGTTTAGGATCTTTTCTCCATGGTGATTCCTTAAACCTTGTTGAATTAACTGTTCTTTGGCTTTCAGAATTCTTACTCACCATTCTTCAGGTCCGAACGCGAGCAAACTTGATTGGCGTAAACGATACAAGATCGCTCTTGGTACGGCCGACGGTCTGCTGTATCTCCATGATTATTGTCAGAGGCGTATCATTCATCGAGATATCAAGGCCGATAACATTCTACTTACAGAAGATTTCGAACCTCAGGTAGCTATCATGTTCGAAAAGAAATATTAGCCCTTTGTATCTTCGTCGAACATACTCTTCGATTTACGGTAAACCAACGATGAACACTCTATTCTCAAATGAATGCAGATTTGTGATTTCGGCCTTGCAAAATGGCTACCCAAACAGTGGACTCACTACAGCGTGTCGAAATTCGAAGGCACATTCGGGTCGGTAGTATGCATACATACGTTTTCGTCCTCGACGTTACTGTTTTTCTGTAGTTAACTTTTGCATCTCGAAATGTAGATACTTCGCTCCTGAATATTTCATGCATGGGATCGTTGACGAGAAAACTGACGTTTACTCGTTCGGAGTTCTACTTCTAGAGCTCCTAACTGGTCGTCGAGCTTTAGACGAACTGTGTCAAAGCCTCGTCCTTTGGGTAATAACAACGCTTAAACAAACTCGAGTAGTTCATTATATATACCTTTAATCACTGTTTGAATCTTCTTTATTTTAGGCAAAGCCTCTCTTAGATACCAACAATCCTGAGGAGGTCATTGATCCTGCTCTCATTAAAAGCTACGACCTCGAAGAGGTCGAACGTGTGATTTTGACTGCGTCTCTATGCATTGAGCAGTCTCCCATTCTCCGACCTCGAATGAGTCAGGCAAGTAGGAAAAAACTACAGTACGCGTCGTCTCTTCACGTAACATGTAATAGAACACTGTGGTTTATTGCAGGTTGTCATTCTGCTACGAGGCGACAAATACGTAGCGGAGTGTGAAAAGAACACGAGGGTGTCGCTGCAACGAACGTACTCGGAAGAGCTGTTGGACGCTCAAGAATACAACAAGACGAGGTACCTAAGCGATCTTAAGAAACACAGGCAGCTTGCTTTGGGGTGTTGAAAGTGAAGTTGAAGTATTCACCTAAAGAAAGAAGCTGCAAAAGCAATGTGTTAGTGTTAAGTTAACAGAGTTACTCTAATTTAGTGGATCAATTGCCAAACAGCACCTTAGGCCTTGTATTTGTGCTGCTGCTGCTGCACTGTTTCTCAATACACATTAACAAACATTAAGCTGTTTCAATGAAAGGTGAAGTTTCGACTTTTGTTTATGCTAACTAATTTTGGGTCGAGATTTCGAGCTCGGGAAATTCCGACCAACTAGTCTTTTGCTAGCTCGGTTGTCTTGTTGTGCAGCTACTGTTAGATAATCATTTGGTTTTTTGTTTTTGAAAGTTATGCTCACGAACACTACTTTCGTTATCAAACACTTTTGAACGAAGACGGAGATTTGAAACTTTAAAGTTTTATCAAATTTATTTTTAAATGAATAATTAATGGATGATTTATATTGTGAGATTCCGCGTTTGTTAGAGGTGGAATGCAACATTTTTGTAAGAGTGAAAATCTCTTCTTAAAAGACACGTTTTAAAACTGTGAGGTTAATGGTGATAAGTAATGGGTCAAAGTAAACAATATCTGCTAGTGATGGGATTGGATTGTTACAAATGGTATCAGAGTCAGACATCGGGTGATGTTCTAGCGAAGACGCTGAGCTCCTAAAGGAGGGTGAATTGTAAGATTCTATATTGGTTGAGCAAAGAAACGAAACATTTTTTACAAGAGTGGAAGCTTCTCACAGCAATGGGGGTCGGCGCTCTGGTTCTTAGTAAAGTGGCATTGGAACTCGACTTGAACCGAAATGTGGCAAGAGGTAATGGGTGAGTTGAGAGATGCTTGGGACGAGGTTTATGTGTTGAATTGGAGAGGGATTTGATTTGTGTTTATGTGCAGATTCAAATGGTGGAAATGGATGGATTGAAGGCTGAGATTAATGAACTTGTTTTGAAGGTTGAGGAAGAGATTAGGGATTTAAGGGGGGAAATCCAAGAACAACATCAGGAGAAGAAGAAAGCCATGGAGATCTTAACCCAACAAACGATTTCACTTGAGGTGAGCTTGAATCAAGTGCATGAGAAAGCGGAGAATGTACGACACACGATCGAGATAATCAACTAGAATGAAGCTGAAATGGAGGAGGCGAAGACGGAGATGGAGAATATCATTGGGAACTATAAAGGGAATCGAGTATATTAAAAGAAGATATAGCTTCTTTGACCGAGATGAGTAATGTCAAAAAAGCGAGGAACGAAGCATTACTGTCTGAAATAGGTCGTCTTCGAGATGCTTTAGAGGAGGCTACATTAGAGAGAAAAGAGTTTAGAGATTGAATCAAAGATTTCACAAGAGGATTCACTCAGAGTAAAGAAGGAGATGGAGAAGCGGATTGAGATCTTGGTCGGAGAACGGGATTCCGTGGAGAGGAACTTGTTAAGAGCACGGAGTAGAAATGGTGAACTGAAAGCTAAGGTAGAGTCAGCATTGGCATCGTTGAGGAAGGCTTGTTTGGGTGTGTGTGATGTTAAGGAGAAGGGGCACAAGTTTGTAGAAGAAATGCAGCCCTTTGTTGAACATTTGGATGCAATAAACACATCCTTCACAAACAAGGGAAAAATGGTGGAAGAAATGAAGCGACAACTCGAGACCGAACAAGCCAAGGAATGGAGAGGAAAATGGTGGAAGAAATGAAGCGACAACTCGAGACCGAACAAGCCAAGGAATGGAGGGGAAAATGGTGGAAGAAATGAAGCAACAACTCGAGACCGAACAAGCCGAGGAACGGAAGAAGGCGAGCTTCTTCACCAGAGTGACTGCAGCAACAGCAATTTTGGCTGCTGTTTCTGCTGTTTATGTTGGGATAGGGCCCTAAAGCTGAGGCCATGGTTTAATAAGAAAGCACATTTGACAAAATTACATTTGATTCATCTCGAATCCACTATTAACCCTATAAAAACTTATGAATTTCAATCAATAGTCTGTTTTTTTTTTCTTTTTTCGTCGTCGTCTAAATTCTAATCATTACTTATCAAATATAAAACTTATGAATGATTCATAAAGCTGAAGATAAAAATTTCGATGAAATTAAATTCTGTAAGTATATGTTATATATTGACAAGTTCAAGGCTAAAATTGATATGTGTTTTGAAATTTTATTGAACCAAAAAATCTATTTTTTTTTAGTTCAAATAGATTTAAATATTGAATGATGAACTTAGATGTTAATTATCATTTAAGTTAAACCAATCAGTGAGTCATTTTCTATCATCAAATTTCGTACCATTTGACAGGGAGTTTTTCCATTCTCATTCTTCGATCTTCATTTTTCTCCATGATCTCTTCTCGTCTGCGATTTTCATAAGATCATATTGTTAAAATCAAGTAAGAGATCATACGGTTAAAATCAGGTAAGAGATTTTCAATACTGCACATTTTCATTCTAATTTCTTTTTCATTAAAACCCTTTGAATGGTTGAAAAATTATACGAGGGAAATTTACATACTACCAATAAATCATAAATATATTTGAAAATACTCCAAAATAAATTGATGATGTAGTAGTTCAATGATCCCTCGAAAATTTGTTTGGAGTGAACATTTTTTTTCTCTCAGTTTCTCATTCTGAATCTGTAAAATCAAAATTTTGAGCCAGCAAAGGGGACTAAGGTAGGGTACAAGAAAGGTAAAAATAAGGGGCCGTCGTTGGTGGGTAACAGAGCTTTCCTATCGACGATCTTTCTCGGTGCATAAGCGAGGCTAACCCCACTCAGCGTAATATGGAGGTACTTATGGCGAAACGGGCCGATTTGGTCTTTCACAATAAAGTGATAGATGTATGGCTATCGAAATCGTGAGCATCAACATGAAGGTTCCAAATCTTTGGATTTTTCAAAACTTCATGGACATGCAGAAGAGAAATACTATTCCCACTCGGACCAAACATGTTAAAACTCGAAAAAGAAATAAAGAGGGAACATATCTCAATGCCTATGTCTCCCTATGTCTCAAGGTTCAAATCATGAGAAGTTTTCTCCCCATGTCTCCAAGCCTCACCTCAGATGTATAACTTTCTATCCTTTAAGAGAATTGATAATTCCTAGCATGAAGATCTCTAGATTTAGGGCAAAATGAAGAAGGAGATATACACTTACCTCCCTGTTAGGTTAAAAGAAAAATTGTATTGTAATTTCATAACCTTAACAACATAGACCAAAATGAACACTTCAAAAAATAAGGGACTAAATTTGACATTTATGGAACGAAATTTGAATCCGACGAATAATCACTTGTCTAAGTAGCTTTAGAAACCTATAAAGTTTAGGTAACTAGCTAGTGTTATAGAAATTTAACTGGTGAAAACGATTGTGCCACGTAAATAACATCATCGATATAGACATTTTTAACCGATTCAAGATTTTCATCAAATCTAATTGTAACCATCCTCAAATTCTGTCTTCATCCATATTGTTACAACTTAACAACGCGTCGGAAAGAGGTGCAACAACGATAAAGATCGCCAGTTCATAGAGCAATCTTCCAAGTAAGCACTCACCGACGATCCAATAACAGCCAAAACCCACTTTCCCATCATTACCAATAAGGTAAGATAAACTCCAACTGCACAGTGAGAGTCTTGAGACTAATTTGATTCTCAAACGAAGTTCCTGTGCTACATGGAATTCCAGACGAACCTTAAGAATGGATACTACGGTTAGCGATACGAGAACGATGGACCTGGAAATGAGTACCGCGATGAAACCGGCATCATATCACTTCCCACATTGTCAAGATGCATCTCATTGTAATGTGATGGAGCACCAATGGCATGTCTCATGGGCTCAATACCAGTAACATAACTTCTTGAATAAGTTGGAGGGGCGGCTGGTTTGTCCGTCATTGAAGGAAGCAGGTATGGATCGGTTGAAAGAGGCAGGTATGGATCGGTTGAAGGAGGCAGATATGGATTGGCTGAAGGAGGCAGATATGGATTGGTTGAAGGAAGGCCATATTGACGAGTGTAAATCAAATCATAAGCATTGCGTTCTGAACCACTAGCAGATATTGATCTAGGGGGTGATATTTGAGGTCTAGAATCAATACTGTAAACTGGATAATCTTTTCCATTAAAGTATACATGATCCTTGCGAACTATTTCCCTCTGTGCGTGTGCAGAGACATCATCCCTGTATCTGAGCTCTAGATGTCTAACTTGATAGTCCCTATCATGATCTCTGTGGTATGTTTCTAAAGAAGGCCGAGGCACAGGATCTAAATTTCTTCTCTCTTCCCGGAGATCATAAGTTCGATAGTCCTTTTCGTTTGAGTAAAAATCACGAGGAACTTCCTCTCTATGTCTAGGTGCCTCTTCTCGGTGTCGATCCCTTCCATGAGATGACAAATGGTATTTCCTGGTATCGCCACCCTTGGACTTAGAGTTACTAAACCGAATGTCTTTAACTTCCCCATGAACATTTCTATCCCTAGACCGAACAGGAGCAGAACTCGAGTGGAGTCCAACTGGTCGGAAAAGATCTGAGAGCTTCCTAACCTGAAAGATGAAATCCTACAATGTCATCACAGGGAAAAATAAATTTAAGAGTGCTTTTGAAAACCCAAGCTAGCAGAAGAAACCTGACACATCCACCTGTTTAACAGAGAGTTCAGCTTTGAACTTGTGCTTCTCATAATAATTCTCTTGGATAGCCTTCTTGAAAATGTTCTCAGGTAGTGGAAAACAGTCCTTGTAAACCTTGAACCGCACCTGAAATTTCAATTTTGTAATTGAGAAATTATCCTAAGCAGATGAAAAGAAGAGTTTCGGGAGTAGTTTATTATAGCTAACAACAAAACTTGAACCTGAGCAGGGAATGCCCCATTAAAAGCCTTTGGCTCAAGTTTCATGCCACCGGAAGAGGATGCTTCATAAATTCCATATAGAAGCTTGAGATCAAAATCATAGAGAAAAAGCTTCAATCCAGGTTTGATTGCCAAGACAACATCCAGTTTGCCAGCAGAAACACCCATTAAGTTGTAGTGAAAACAATCTGGCTTTGTTTTTGCACTGCACATGAAAATCAATCCACCAAGATTTTCTTTGTTTTTATCATCTCTTCGACTTTTTTGCGCTCTATCCTTTTCTTTCCTTTTCTGATTTTTTATGCTCTTATCTGAAGAACCAGCCTTCTCTGTATTCTTCCCTTCTTTTATTCTATTTTTAAGCTCAGAATTACGTTTATGCCTAGCAAAAGTCTCTTCACCCTTTTCCATACGCTCCTCTTTCGAGATACTTCTATTAATATTTTCCTTTTGGTTAGGCTTCTCGATATCTTCGACCTTTTTTTCACTACCTTCCCCATTTACCTGCAACAAACTCTTATTATTCTCCAGTTTCTTTCTGACTTGCACCTTAGGACTGCTCTGAAGCTTACAAGTCTGTTGACTGCTGCCTGGAGATTTCTTTAGAATTTTCCTTTTCACCTTCAAATCTTTATTATTCTTCATCTTTGACGCTGGTTTGCTGGAATTTTCGGTGGGATTCTGAGCTTCAAGAGTTTCTCCCACTTCTTGAGCTACAGGAACCTCTTTTTCCTTTTTGTCGTCTTCCTGCTCAGCCTGTGCCTTTTTTTTCTTCAACATACCGCTAGCTGGGGATTTCTTTATAATTTTTCGTTTTACCTTCAAATGTTTTACAGTTTTCTTTTTATGCGACCCTACTCCAATGCACTTTTCAGCAGACTTCCCAGCTTCAGTCGTGTTCCCAACTTCAGTCACAGCTTCTTTCATGACATCTACTTGTTCTGCAGGAAAGTCTTCTTTCATTTTGCTATCTTCTTGCACTGCCGAAGATGCGGCTTCTTTCTTCTTACCTTCATGTTCTGTTGAGAGCTCTTCAACATTTCCCTCAGTTTTCTGTACATCAGATCTACCAACTTCCTTCTCCTCAGATTCAGGCAGAGCAGAATCAGCTTCCATATTTGAATCTTGTTTCATGATCTACTCACATTTACATAATGCCAGAGTCAAAATTGCTACACATCGTATTCCTTTTTCAAACTCTCTCATCAAAGGAAGTAAAAGAGAGATGCAAAAATCAAGTGGAAGGAGTCTTCAATACAAATCAAGGGTGCAGTCATGCAGATAAATCACCAAATATAATGAGTATTGAACACTCTTTGGCCAGTACTATGCAATTTGTGCTACCAGACCTGCGATTAGCCGCTTCAATGGGATCTTTTATTCTGGTCAGTCGAGAAATTACCAAACATCTAGTATTCCCTTACGCTCTATGCCAATAAGTTTTTTTTTAGACATGGCACTTTTTGAACTCAATATGAGAATTTTTTTTTTTTTTTTTTTTTTTTTTTTTTT